GAATGGATACATTCTGAATTCATATTTCTGAGGAAGAACCTAGTGCAAGTTGAATTTTAATAGAATAGAGCTGCATAGAACAACGCGAACTTTTTCATGTGACTCTAGGATATAGCCCTGTGCAGAGCCAGGAGCTGGACTCGATGACCCTTGTGGTCCCTTCCAACTCGGCATATTCTGTGATTCTGTGATATACAGTTCAACAACAAACAGGTTAATTAGCAATTCAGTCTGAAATAGTCCCCTAAACAGACCCACATGTAGAGATCTCCAATTGCTACTAGGGTCCCAATCCTTGCCTTTTGATGCTTCAGGCATACTGAGTAAAATGGGTAAGAATCCATGTTCTACACAAATTCCTACACAGTTACAAAAATTAGTGAAAATTAAAGGCCAAAATAACTGCCTTCTACTCACGCTTTTAATATATAAGTTGTTAAAACTGAAATGCTGAGATTAAAAAAAGGAGCAGGCTGTCAGTTACTTCTACTACCTCCTAAAGACAGTGTATTTCCAATTCAGTCTTTACCATATGTCCTACAATATGTGCAAGCTGATGCAAAACATGAAATTAAAAAATTATTAAGTAATTGGATTATTCCATTAATTGTTCGTTAAATGTCTTTTCGGGAACAGCAGAATGCCAGTGATACAAAGTTCTGTCCTTCCTCACACACAAATATTCCACTAAGTACTGTATAACAGAATTAAAACTGCAATTTTGAGATCCTTATATATGTATGTCTTTAGAACAAAACATGATGGACATGTGGCATGGTCACCATGATGAAGTTTTCTTCTCAAAATATTCTTTTAATTACCATTTCATACAGGTAGCAAACCTGAAATAAAATTATTTATTGTCAGAGTATTTTTCCTCTTTCAAGGTTTTTGTTAAACATTTTGCCTAGGTACACACTCTTTGGACATTTCTTTTAGAAAAGGTGAAGTTGTGAATCAACTTCAATCAACTGTTGTGTTAAAAAACAAATAAAAATGGTAATCATGAATAAGAATACTTGCTTTATTCATTCTTTCCAGATTTTTCCAAACATGGAGAGTTTTCAGTATACTTTCTAAGTTCTTGGTTTTTTGGTTTTTTTTGGTTTTGTTTTTTTTTTTAATCTTTAATCATTATTTCCAGATTTTTCTGAGCATCAGGAGGGTTTTTTGCCCTATTTGTAAATATATATTTTGTATCTTTGGTACAGAAGAGATACTTATGATACTGAACTCTGATGCGCTAAGCATTTATGTTAGCTTAAGGGGTTTGGTGGTGGGTTTTTTAATAGTTAAATACTTAACAATCCCTGCGGAGTAAACTGATTTATAGTATTTCAGGGAATAAACAGGATATTACCTAGCTATTACATTCTTCCCTACCTTGCATTTTTTTGATAAGTTTTCACCAAAACAGTTGACTTTATGTGTGACTGATTCAGGAGGTAAGTAATCATTAACATGTACTCTAAGCAGCCTTTATTCAGAACAAAAGTAATTACACCTACCAAGAGATGATCAGTGTCTGACTAATACATGCATTTCCCTTCAAAAGGCGAAATCTCTTCAAAGGAGATAAACAACTTAAACCCAGAAAGAGTACCTCCCACTTTACTTGTCTTTAGTATGATTAAAAGCCTTACAGTTTTTAACTTCATTATAAACACTTCTACAACTGAAGCAGCATTAATACTAAGTAGTATTACTCCTATTTCACAAACATTTTAAGAGCTACAGCATGGGAAATTCTCTTAAAAGGCTTAGAATTTGAAGAAAGAACAGAATAAGCAATGCTTTGACATTCAATTTGATAAATTCCTCACCACACCCAACTCACTAGTTATCCTTGTTGCCACCATTTACCCTTCTGATTTATGATGAATGCAAGAGACAGGAAACAAGGACAGGATTTAGCTTTTCATATTAATGTCCCTACAACTCACTACACACAGGCAGAGATTAAAACCCATAGCTTGTTCCTCTTTTAACTTCTTGAAACACTGTTTTATCTGTGCAGTTTCTAATACAGTTATGTTTGAGCTCAGATTCAGTTATCACAACTTAATTAGACAATGTGTATCAGCTGAGCTGTAATAATATGTCAGAAAGGCAGAGGAGAAAATGCTTTTACCTAAATCTCCTTCTAATTGTTTGAATATGTTGGAACATCTCATAAATACAAGGTAGGCTACCACATGGCTGTTGCTGGATGGTAACTCATTAAGACATACTGAAGATGTAAAACTTGATCACTTGTCTAGATTTTTAATCTGAAACAGAATTAATCCATTTCAGCTCATTATATCCTTATACTATATTTTTGTTAAGTACTCAATCATTAGTATCAAACAGCTACGTAGCTGAATAAAAAAGAGGAAAAAAATTAAAAAAGGAAGACAGTCCTTGTTGAAAGAAGCAAGCACAAGACAATGAGACCAGTTTCAACCAAATCAAGACCACACCTACATATCTAATGGATGAATGCAAATCAAAACATACCTTCTAAATAGACAGAGACCAGACAGGGAAAAAGAAAAATCTGTGATGAGGCTACACACCATACAACTACATACTGTATTAAACCCCGTGTATAAAAAGCACACTGGAACAGAAATGCATTATGAAAGCAAATGTTCTGCAACAGAGGTGGTTCTGTAATAGAAATTACAAAAAGGGAGGAAAAAACAAAACAACTGAAAGGCCAGTTTGAAGAAAAATAGTGTGATTACTCACCTACACTACAAAGACTTCAGAAATATATAGCTGCTATCAGCTCCCCACTAAAGTAAGCCAATTGCAGTAAAGGGCAATGATTCCTGAGTGGCAGTGTTAAAATTAAAGACAATTTTCACATAACATAAACCAACACAGTTCCAGCTTGTATCAATGGAAGATCACATTAAGTGCCCAAAAATATTAATGAATTGCTCATTTATGACATTCTCCCTTTAGAAATAACTCTTTAAAAAATTAAAAATCAAGAACACAGAATATGGAAGCATTTAGTACACAGCAGACATCTGGCAAAACAAGGATAAGTGACAGGATTAACATTTACATGTAGTTCTATTAGAAAGACAACTCCTCCACTGTTGGAATAATGTCATAAAAGCCCTTTCATTAAATCACTCTTTCATACTAACGGATTCCTTTTCAATGCAATTTAAACTCATTATGTTTAATGAGCACTATTATATTTGCAATAAAATAAACATAAGTACTGTTTTTATGCTTGCCTACCAGGTAAATCACCCTTTAAAAATATTACAGTTCTGTCTATTGCAGACTGCTTAAACATACACATTCAGAAATTGTTAGAGGTTGCTCTCATTTTAACTGGAGGAGCTGCTACCTGAAGCACACAAATACAAGTAAAACCTTTCATTTTTTTCCCCCTTACAAGTGCTTATACTTTCTCTCACTGAGGCATTAAAGGAAAAACGTGCTGTAAGGCTTAGCGTCACAATCAGTTCTGTATTTTGATGATCAGATTTCAACTAGTACCTCCACTTTTCCTGTTCATCTTAATAATTGTCTTTTACACATAAGAACCTTTTATTGCAGAATGGGGCATGCAGCTCATCTTACTGCCTTTTGCAATAGGTGTATAAAAGGGGAGATTAGAAGATTAGATAAAGATATTATCAAAACATAGCTTTTTGGAACACATACCTTCTTTTGTGAAATAGGCCAGTGCAGTCACCTAACGTAATCCCTTTTCTTTGTGGAGGTTTAGTGTATCTACTTTATTATACAAAGACAGGCAGATGTTGAAGAAACGCAAATTTGAGTGAAGGCACATGCAGCTTTCCAGATTTGATCATACAGGTGATCATTGCTGAGTTTACTTCTGCTGTGCAAGTTAAAAGCAACTGTCAGCTGAAATCAAAGGAGTGTTCACATGGCATAAATACTAAAGCAGGCTTAGGTCCATCTAAGGCCTATCTCAAGACATAAAGAGGGATTATTAGCTTTCATATCTTCAGAAAAGACATAATTACAGTCCTTCCCTTCAGCAAAGATGTGTGAAAACAGCTCTGCAACAGTTGGGTCCATTTCTTAAGGTCTTGGAACAGTTTGTTTGGGTTTACTGCATACACATGTTGTTTATGAACAGCACAAGCTAGCAATAATCAGGGAACTCTTGCTATGCCTTGTATCATCATGTCCAGTCCATTTGTCAAAACATTTATATCACTTCAAGGGATCACAGTCACCATCAGCAGTCAGTAAGAATGGACACAAAATGCAGCTGATTATGCTTGTTAGATTGGCTAATGACCAAACACAGAAACATTTCCACTTCTTCTTCAGGCAAGATTATACA